ACGTTTCTTTGCATTTCCTTTGTAGTATTAATATATAGCACAGCTCTGAAAAACCAAAACAATATTCGTACACTCCTAAACGGCCGCCATGTTGTATATAAAAATATACGGTTAAAAATTAATTTTTGCAAAATTGCAACATTCCATTCTATACCAGCAACCAATCATATTCATTTCTGAGATGGATTATCTCAGAGCCTTCGTTTCCTTCCCAAGGATCGCAGGCTCGGGGAACGAGATTGATAAGCAGCTGTCTTTTTCTTCTCTAGACCACAATTCATAACGATTCAAGTTATTGGCGAAAAGGTCTATTTTGTTTTTCGTGTATTCCACGCAGGCAATCACACGCGTTGCGAGAACGAAATAAAGATAAAGAAAAATTTATGTCAAAAATTTACTAAATGTGAAAGAAATCATATTTTCAAAGATATGCTTTTATTAACGACACTTTATACAGATATTTTGTAACCGTTAAAGTTTGTGGGAAGTTTGATATGAGTTCAAGCGGATTTTTGAGCACATCTTGCTGTATTTTGATACACAGAACTGTTCGTGTTTATAAGTAAAAGAGGGACAGACGGATTTGAACAACATCGCAAGCCAGTGCTTTGCATTCATTTTCGTATTTGATTTCTTGGCCATTCTGGCTATGGACGTCGAGAATAGCCTGCAGCAGTTGTATTTTCATTCAGGCAGCGTTCGTGGGGTAGCATTTTCGCCCGTGGTAATATATCATAATGATAGTTCATTTTGTGTCAATTGTGTATGTTTTGTCTCAATTTGTGTGGTGGTAGAGGGTAGGTTAATTATGTAACCTGCATATATGCGGATTAAGAGGGTTTCAACTATCTGAAAAATACACGTGAAACTTTGACGTTTTGAGCGAAGGTGATTTGACACAAAGTTAGTAATCCCTCTCAAGTCACAGCTTTCTGGTGTCAATACCAACTCCGGCACAGAGGGCCATACCATTTAATATACCCCCCCCCCCTATGGACGAGAATTTCTGAGGGGTTGTCACTTCACTAAACAACGCTAAGAATTATTGTCGAAATCCTAAGAACTCTGGACAACGACCTCAAGTGGTGTTTTACTACAGATAGGAACAAGCGATGGGAGTACTGTGATGTCCCTAAATGTATACCAGGTATAGAGTAATATCGTTCTGTGATCACTTGTGTGCATCTGCATCCTTTGATCTTTGCGTTTTTTTCTGAGGGGTAAGGCAAAAATTTCTTAATTTCTGGGGGAGGGGGAATTTGTGTCACACTTTGATCTTTTTTTCTTGGGGGTTCAAATTTTATTGACCTCGTCCATAGGGGGGTGTAAATGGAATGGCCCAGACCAGTAGGGTATCGTATCTACCCCTGTATGTACAAGAACTTTGGCGAGGGAAAGGTAAGAGCTACAGGCTGTGGTGAGGAAGTAGGCTGCTGTCCTCAATGCATGAATATTTTGACTAATTCTGAAGCTCGGTTTAGATGGCGAACTTTTCAATGCGCTTGAACCTAATCAAATCAAATACGGCACATGTTTGGCAACTAATTTAGACATCAGACTTAATTGTACCGTGCCAAAATACAAGTGCACCATATCAGAAAATTCAGTACTAATTGTATTCATAATGGGCAATATGATACCTTACTTCCCGTCATCCCCTGCAGGCATAAACTAAAAGCTGGAATTTCCTATTTAAAGTTCAAAAAATACTATATTTTAGGATCGCTATCTGTTCTGTTCTGGAGCATATGATGGCAAAGTGAATATATATAGTGCAAAGAAATGCCATCTTCTTGGTAGTTATCAGGCAAGTTAATGAAATTACAAACAACCAACAATACCAATGGCTGTCTCTACATGATGTCCTTAATTTTTCAGATAACAACGTTGAGCTTGGCCAGAAATATAAATGCTGTGAGGTTTACGTCAGATGGTCAAAAGGTAGATTGCATTACTCTTATATATGCAAAGATAACATTTTTGGTAAAATGAACAAGCCCCTTGCTATATGGGGTTCACAGAAATGGGAGAGTGCTATTACCCACTCCCCTCAACTTTTTCACCAAGTAACAGAAATAATGTATTGATATTTATTATATAGTAGAGAGTGAGATACTGAGAAATACACAGTGACATATTTTCCATATCTTCACTAGTGAAGATATCGATCATGTGGCTTAGTATTTATACAATTTTTTGCTTGGGACTATATAATAAACAGAACATTACACGTTGGCTTGAAGATATGACTTTTATCTTCTCGTGTTGAAAACAATATTTTACTCACTCGCTGTGCTCATTCGTAAAATATTGTTTACACCACTCAAATATAAAAAGTCGCACCGCCGTGTAATATCATCCTCTATATATTAAAAATTATGGTAAATTAATTAATTGATATAGTTACATAATAAAAATACTAAATAGTCTGGCTACTATGGGCTTCATTCATGCACATGCCCTCCCGCCCATATGTCAAACATGCTTGTGGAGGCTTGATGGAGAATTTTTGGTGAAACTGTTATATTCAACTTTAGGTGCTTGCAACAACAACAGTAAGAAGACTGGCTGTCTTAGACGTTGAAACTGGCGAACAAATATTTGCATATGACAATTGTAAGATGTTACTTCTTGTCAGGACAGATTGATTAAATTTTGGTTAACTTTGGATGAGAATTGCATGAGAAATTTACTTTGCCACAGGCTCTTAGCTAGGATTTTAGATCTTGGGCGTGTTTCTAAATGACCAGGGTGTGCACATGTCAATTACCTTGAATAGCCAAATTCACGGTTCTACAATGTCAACGGACAATGCCTGCGGTTGTTCTATGCTTTGCAACCAAGTACAAAGCGAGCATATACTCATATTGCGCACTGACATTAAAATATTAAGTTATTTCAGCAACTCTTGTGGCTATTTAAAACCACTTTAACACCTTTCGGTTTCCATTATCCATTAAAACATCACGGATCACTTTTGCCAATTTCAACAACAACAATAGATTTTACAAACTTTCTTATGATGTAAATAGAAAGAAATTCTGTCTGTTGTAAGTAGCACCATCTTATTTTATGAACTCACACAGCCTTATATAAATATTAAATAATGAAGCCGCGTTCATTTTATCTAGCCGTGTTTTTCCATTTTTGGCCGTGATAACACGGCCAACACGGCTCTCTAGCTAAGACCCTGCTTTGCCAGACAGCGAACTGAATGAGTAATTAGCCCATTATATAAGTTATGCATGATAGTATGATACATGACTTAAGGTTACAGGATACCCTAGAACGTAAAAATTTTGAATTTTTTTTTCTTTACATGTTCTTGTTGCTTTTGAGCATACCTGTCGTCTGGACAAAAATGTAAATCAGTATCTTTAAAATTAAACAGGTTATTTAGTAAAACGCAATTGAAGTCTATATGTTTGGCGGGAAATGTGTTTGACAGAAAATCGACACCTTGTGCAATTCAATTAGTGTATACGTCATCTCGTATTCCGTTATCACAACATGCGGTTGTACAGACGTTTTCTTGCACTGAAATCTCTGCTGAAAAAATGCCGCGAATAAAAGCTGATTCTGGCAAAAGCAATAAAACCCCTTTTTGCGGCCGTCGGAAGAAACTCAAACCCAAGACCGACTATTTGTTCACAGAGGAGAGAAAGAAATCACTGGCAGAAAGTGACCCTAAAACCATTCTGTAGAGATGAATTAATACCCATAAAGCCCATAATTTAGAACAGTTTGCCTAATATTTACTAGCATAATTATAGAATATAATATGTAAGTATATTTACATGAGTATGTTTATCATAATATAACAATGCCTTTTAAAACATATATTTTTAAATTTAATTATTATAGTCATATTTGACTAACACTATAAGTCCTATAATAGTCTACACACAACTTCGGGATCATCAAAGCTTCACAAAAGATGTCCA